GGGGCGGGGGGTTCCCAGCGGCCGGAGTTCGCCCAGGGCGCTTGATGGTGTAGGGCCGGCTTTGTTTGGCGGAGAAAATGACGTCACATAACATCGCGTCATGTCATCTGTGAGAAAATTCAGATTATTCGCCAGATTTAGCGGGAAAACTGACGTCACCTGACCACAACACCAATTCGATTCCCCGCCAAATTTAGTGGGGAAACTGAATTGGTGTTAAGGTCATGCGACGTGAGTTGCATTATGGGACGCGCGTGCGTTGCTTTATGGGACGTCAGAGACCTACACACCAATTTAGTTTCTTCGCTAAATTTGGCGGTGAATTCATATATATAGAGTATAGGTCCGTGACGTCCCATAATGCAACGCGCGCGGTTACGCCAACGCCGACGCCCTTATATGCGGAAACAGACGCCTCAGAGCTGCGCTCTAAAAGATGTGCACATACTCTAGTTGAAATTTAGAGCTATGCTCAGCTTGGAACCTCAGGGACAAACAATAAAACACTAAAGTATGAAGTACATTTAGATCGGTTGGAAATTCTGAAAAATGCACCTATAAGTTCACACTCGCATGAATACCAGTGCACTGAAACTCTTCTGGCCCCTTATTGTGGCACTGAGCGTTTCTTAGCTTCGACTAGCATGACGTCTGCCCATCGGAATTTCAGTTTTACCTAGAGTGAACGCACCATTCACTGAAACTTATGATTGCCCAAAATGTCTGGAGCAACCCAATTTTCGACAACCCAATTCTTAACCCCCCAATTGTGAGTGGCCGTCGCAATGTTTGGCCAATTACTTTTCCCTAGAAGTCCTTTTGGAGTGGAAGCACGAGAAAATCGAGAAGAATCCCATTTGAGGAAAGAGGCCAAGTGGAAGCAACCCCTCCCGAATGTCCCACCCCTCTAGAAAAAGAACATTTTGTCTCAAAGCTCACGCGCGAACAGAAGTAGTTTGCGATCTTGACGCGAGACGTACGGGGTCACCAATCCGAGGTCGGTATAAAGATCGATGACACAGGAAAACGGTAGGCCCAGATAAAACTGCGATAAAGGGCCGCCGTCGTCGTAAGTGACGCCATACAACGAACCCCAGTAGACGCCCACGAGCTCCTCCAATTTACCGCCCCCCCCCCCCTCCCCGAACGTATACCCCGTGACATATACGTGCCTCGCGCATCACTGCGTCTCTCTCGGATGTCACGTGGCACTCACAGGACGTCCGATTGGCTTCGTTAGCTCGTGGCCTGCTCTACGGTTACTCTTAATTTAAAACTGAGTATCGCCGGACGAGACGCTTAAACGTATCCGGGCGGTGCAATATTTGAAACGACCCAGGTGTAAAGGACTTGCAAAGGTTTACCAGGCAACGACTCTATCGCGAGACGAAGTTCACGCGGGAATTCGAGCTGTAACTTTGTAAGCGATAATTACGTGAAGGTTTCCGTGCTTCCCGTAATGTATACACCCACCCCAGTTGGATGCCTGAGCTCATTCTCATTTAAATTTAGACGACCATCGTAGTCAATTCTAAGGTGCGCGAGATATAAGCTTGTTCGTTAATTATCTTTGCATTAAAGCTTTATTCTCTGGGTGTTCACTAATTAAGTCAAAGGCTGTAACATCGTAAACTTTCTGGAATTAGATAAGGCCATTTTGCTAAAGGTTTCGCAGCGATTGCTTGGAGGCCGGTACAAACTTATCGAACAGTTCAGATAGGTTCTTGAGGCGCGGGAATATTTATTTGAGAACACATATGAAATTTACGAAGCTGATCATTTCCATGCAAAATTAGGTTAAAGTCTGCTTTCCGTTAGCTAACTTGTGTGCCCTTTCAACAATAAATTATTCCTACGTGAGGAAAGTGCGGAGACCAATATTTGTCAGCTCAAACCAGTTCATCGTTGTAAAATGATGTCCAAAGACACCTGCCCTGGTAAAATTTTAAAAACATTTTCTACGGAGTTGTGAAAATGCTGAAAAGTTGAAGTATTCAGTGCAGTGTTGGCGGCCATAACGTATACACTGTTTCCCTTCACGATGAACCGCAGAAAATAATGTTACGACTCATCAAAGCCATTTAAGTGCGGTACGTGTGACCGCCAATGGGGTGCTGCGATCATTTATCTCAATCGTAGTAAGCTGGATCGCGGATCGACGCATGTCTTGCTGGGGTCGAGCGGTACCACCGGCAGTCATCACTTGACTCCATGTAATTAATGCATGGGACTCTACGGGTGAAACGGGCAAAACTCCAATTTCTTACTTTAGTAGGCTGTTCTCGACAATGACAACTTTATCGTGTTTTCCGGGAATTACATGTAATATTCTGGACACAAATATCGAAAGCGCTATAGTACCAATCTTTTTTTCTTTTAATAAATGTTTTGTGGTGGAGGGTCGAGTGTTGCGACTTTCTTGGGTGTAAACGGTAATGCGGTTCAATGAGACGACGGCTGCCGAGGGTCAAAGTGGAGTCATTCGTGACCTCGAAGTCGTCAGAGCTTAGCTTTACTGTGGACGTTTACATCGTTTCACGCACTTGTACATGGTACTTCTGGTGCAAGCTTTTCCTTTGAACTGCAGTGAGGGCTTCTGTGACGAACTAATACTCGGAGCGTGTGCTTCATTTGTTGAACGTTGTGTCATTTCTATTCCAACTGAAGCAAGCGACGCCTGCACCGTCGGCGATGCTCCGGCACATTTCATTTTGTTTATCGGCGTTGGAGCGCTTGACCAATGCCGATTTGTCCTCCAAGCGCCTGATATATTGAGCGCAGCACATCATAAAATACTCTCCTTCGAGCACCGCGTACAAGCCTCAATATTCCTACATGTGTTTGCTTTTCCCAAAGGCTTGCGTGTATTGCCTGCTGTCAAGCAATGGCCGCCGGGCGTGCCACCGACGGGCTCCCGATCCGCAATCCAGCCTATAGACCGTTTTACTGAAAGAGGGCGAGAGAGAAAAGGGGAAAAGGCTACCGGTGCTTTCCCCCTTTCTGATTGTGTAGAAGGAGTGAAAGTCCCGGATGAGAGGCTTGGCCGGTGTTGGGTGTCTGCTGTGCCCAAACTTTGTTCGCGCTTTCTTTTCTATTTTGAACTTGCAAACTTAATTAAAGTAACGGGTTTCGATGGCAACAGTTTCCCGGTCATCAAGACACCGTTGCTCGGTCATAGGGTGCACGAATAACGACAGGAAGCGTCGAATACTGTCCGAGGACCTATGTAGCTTGCAATGAATCCGGCAAGGCGAGAGCGGCTGCAATGTCTTTAAGATCCATCGCTTTCCACATGACCCCGGTCTTGGCGGCAGTGGATTGCGTTCGTAAACCGAAACGACATTTCCTCAACACCATCTTCTCGACTGTGCTCGGAACAGCTTGTGAATGGAGCGCGCACCGAACGCTGTACCGCCGATGAACGTGGGGTACGCTCGCAAGGTGCGTGCCAGTTTTCTCGTGATAATTGCTGTTTCAGCTTGTAAAATTTTGTAACTGAATTTATCTTAATATTGATAATTTGCAGTGGTGACTGACTCGATTTCATCATTTACAACACTTAGTTGAAGGCTTATTTCCGCCGCCAGGTGGGGCTAGAAATTGTTGAAAAGGTAGTTCTATCGGTTTTCCTGAATAGCGATCCCCTGTGCGATACCAGAGAGCCGACAAAAACGCTCCTTGGAGTGCCGCTGGTGGGTTGTTTGGGTTGTTTCCGTTGATTGCGCGCTTTGAAGCGCTGGATAGTCGCTCCAAGGTACGACTCGTGTGTTGCGATCTGCGTCTTCGAGCCCAGTGTGTACGTTTCTTTGTTCGAGTCATGGCATCCACCAGTGCGGCAACGGGGGGAACAGCGGCAGCGAACGTGTCAGTGATAGAAATTGGAGGTTAGTACTCAAAATATTGCATCAAATAGTAAAATAATTCGTGGCTGCTTTGACGCTTTCTGCGGTTCGATATAAGCACATCTAGAACGTCTTCGTCGTTCATCCAAAATGAAATATGAGAACACGGACACGTAAGATAAAAGCAGTGCAGCAAAACGATATGTAGCAGCTCCGGGTGTTTACAAAAGTTAATCGAGGTTCCCGTTTCGTGTATCGCTTGTTCATTACTAAAAACGGCTGCGTTGAAATGGGCCTATTCCGAGCAAAAATTTATGAATGGTTCATCATTTCCAGTCACGCGGAAAGCGGTGGAGCTTCAAAACATTGCAGCCGCACGTGCCTTGCCGAATTCTATGCAAGCTACGAGGTCCTTGGGCGGTATTCGACTCTTTCTGTCGTTATTCGTGCACCCTATGACCGAGCAGTGGTGTCCCGATGATCGGGGGACTGTTGCCATCGAAGCCCGTGGCTCTAATTAAGTTTGCGAGTTCAAAACAGAAAAGAAAGCGCGAAAGGGGATGGGGCACAACAGACACCCAACACCGGCCAAACCTCTCATCCGGGACTTTTACTCTTTCTACACAATCAGAAAGGGGGAAAGCGCCGGTAGCCCTTTCCCCTTTTCTCTCTCGCTCTCAAAATGGCGCTACCCACAATAAAACGGTTATAGACCTTTTCCGCGTAACCTCGACCCAGCGCGTAACGTGCGTAGCCTCGACTCGGCGACTCGGCGCATAGCGGGAGTAGTTCTTCCGGTTCTAGCACTTCCGGCATGCGGGAGCAGGCCTAGCCGGCTCGTACGGTGCGGAAGTGGTGCGCGTAAAATGGGTTTTGAAGCCCTTGACAGGGCAGTGAGTTGTAATAAGGTGGATTAATACGTCGAGGTATCATGTCGGCGCATACTTGGTCATCGGGCTACCACTGCGCAGTCGTTGGCTGCAGCAGCAATTTCCGAAAACGGAAGATAGCGCGCGACAAATTGTGCACCGAACACAAGAAGTCGCAAAGCGAATGCGGCTGTAACGTATACACCTTACATCGCTTCCCCGCTGATCCTCATTTGCGACGTAAGTGGGTGGCAAGTGTCTACAGGAAAGACTTCGTGCCGGGGCCATCGTCGAGAGTTTGTTCGCGGCATTTCGTCGACGGCAAGCGAACCAAGCAGAACCCAGTTCCGATGCTCTTTCTGGGCTATGATCGCAAGGTACTGTGCTAATTTAGTTACTTCTGCTACTTTTCCATATTTGTTGTTTGCTATTTGCCGTTGCTATTGGTACTTGAAACCTGTGTTTATTGCTCGATTGGTGCTTCCTATAGGTTATTGTAGGCCGAAGACGATTGCAGAGGATGTCCGTGCCACCCCTCAAGAAATCGGTAATTGATGCTTGGACATTTCCTGCTTATAAAATCACGTCGTTGACGCGATGAGACATTTGTATATTTTCTCATTACAGAAGCTCGCAGATGACTCTCCATCAGGCTCGTCGACAGGCTGTCCGCTGAAGGTGATTGGCGTAGTGTCATATTAGTAAAGGCTGAATTGCAAGCGTTTCGTCCCGTTATTGGAAGAATCGCTCATATGCGGTTCATAGTTAAAGACCTGAATATGCACACCTTATTGATTTATAACAATGTTGTAAATCTGTAATTTTTTTTAAACAGCTGACGCTCAACTTTTAGGAACAAAAAATAAATAAACAAAAGCCAGTGTTTGATTTAATGATGTAGTTTACAGAATCAAATTTGTTATTTGAAGAAGCAGATGCTGGACAGTCATAATATGTATTTGCTAATAAATTTAGAGTGCTACACAAGACTAACACCAGAAGAACAGTGTCTTGGCTGATACAAATGAAATTTCACTGCGTCTTAACTGACGTTCCCAAATTCCGTAGTCTATTGAGGATCAAGCCAGCCACAGCGCAGCTGCTGCTTGCGAGTCCGTTTTTACTGCTGTTACACCTTTGTGTTTCTGTATCAGCAAAACCCAGTACACTCCACTGGTCCCACGACTCCGCCGTCTTCACAACCAAAGACTCGGACCCTCCAGCTGCCTGCGCGGCGCCTGTTGCAGAAAGTCGACCAGCTGCTGGATGCTGTGAGCAGACTGCAGTTTTGGCTTAGTGCGGGCTGCAGTTCACGAGTTTATCCTTACTGTTGTTACGCCTCTATGTTTGCTCATCAGGAAACCCCAGTATACCCCGCTGATCGCCCGACTCCGCCGGCCCCACAATCCAAAACTGTGCCGTTCCAGCCGTCTGTGAGGAGCCTGTTGCGGAAAGCCGACCGGCTGCTGGATGCTGTAAGCAGACCGCCTTTCGGGTGCTCTGCGGGCCGCTGTTTGTGAGTTAGTTTTGACTGTTGCTATGCCCGTGTTCTCATATCAGGAAACCCCAATACACCCCGCTGGTCCAACAATTCCGCCGGCCCCACTACCCAAGACTCTGCCGCTCCAGCCGCCCGTGCTAAGCTTCTTGCAGAAAGCTGACCAGCTGCTGGATGCTGTAAGCAAACGGCCTTTCGGGTGCCACTGTTTATGTGGGCCACTGTTTGTAAGTTAGTTCTTAAGTTCTTGCTGTCTTTACGCCTCTGTATTTGCACATCAGGAAACTCCAGTTCATCCAGCTGGTCCCACGACTCCGCCGGCCCCACAACCTAAGACTCAGCTGCTCCAGCCGTCTATGCGGAGCTTGTTGCAGAAACCCGACCGGCTGCTAGATGCTGTAAGCAAACCCCCTTTCGGGTGCTCTGTGGGCCACTGTTTGTGTGTTCGTTCTTAAGTTCTTACTGTTTTTATGCCTCTGTATTTGCACATCAGGAAACCCAGGTCACCCAGCTGGTCCAACGCCAACGCCGGCCCCAGAACCCAAGACTCTGCTACTCCAGCCGCCCGTGCGGAGCTTCTTGCAGAAAGCCGACAAGCTGCTGGATGCTGTAAGCTAACCCCCTTTCGGGTGCTCTGCGGGCCACTGTTTGTGAGTTAGTTCTTAACTTGTTACTGTTTTTATGCCTCTGTATTTGCACATCAGGAAACCCTAGTTCACCCAGCTGGTCCCACAACTCCGCCGGCCCTAGAACCCAAGACTCTGCCGCTCCAGCCGCCCGTGCGGAGCTTCTTGCAGAAAGCTGACCGGCTGCTGGATGCTGTAAGCTAACCCCCTTTCGGATGCTCTTCGGGCCACTGTTTGTGAGTTAGTTTTTAAGTTCTTACTGTTTTTATGCATCTGTATTTGCACATCAGGAAACCCCAGTTCACCCAGCTGGTCCAACGCCAACGCCAACGCCGGCCCCAGAACCCAAGGCTCTGCTGCTCCAGCCGCCCGTGCGGAGCTTCTTGCAGAAAGCTGACCGGCTGCTGGATGCTGTAAGCTAACCCCCTTTCGGGTGCTCTTCAGGCCACTGTTTGTGAGTTAGTTCTTAAGTTCTTACTGTTTTTATGCATCTGTATTTGCACATCAGGAAACCCCAGTTCACCCAGCTGGTCCAACGCCAACGCCGGCCCCAGAACCCAAGACTCTGCTGCTCCAGCCGCCCGTGCGGAGCTTCTTTACAGAAAGCCGACAAGCTGCTGGATGCTGTAAGCAAACCCCCTTTCGGGTGCTCTGCGGGCTACTGTTTGTGAGTTAGTTCTTAAGTTCTTACTGTTTTTATGCCTCTGTATTTGCGCATCAGGAAACGTTAGTTCACCCAGCTGGTCCCACGACTCCGCCGGCCCCACAACCCAAGACTCTGCCGCTCCAGCCGCCTGTGCGGAGCTTCTTGCAGAAAGCTGACCGGCTGCTGGATGCTGTAAGCAAACCCCCTTTCGGGTGCTCTGCGGGCTACTGTTTGTGAGTTAGTTCTTAAGTTCTTACTGTTTTTATGCCTCTGTATTTGCACATCAGGAAACGTTAGTTCACCCAGCTGGTCCCACGACTCCGCCGGCCCCACAACCCAAGACTCTGCCGCTCCAGCTGCCTGTGCTGAGCCCGTTGCAGAAAGCCGACAAGCTGCTGGATGCTGTAAGCAGACTGCATTTCTGGCTCAGTGCAGGCTGCTGTTCACAAGTCCATTCTTACTGTTCTTACGCATTTGTGTTTGCACATAAACAGAACCCAGGATACTCCGCTGGTCCCACGACTACGCCTGCTCCGCAGCCTGAGGCTCTGCCATTGACAACAACAATCAAAGTTACGGTGGTGCCTTTAGATTTGGTAAGTCCTCATCCATTCCTTTACGAAAGTGTAGTGCTGCACAGGTTTATGTAAATGAAACATCATCATTGCAGTACAGTGTTATATGAGAGATGTAGTAGTTCAGGCTGCCTAACGTCTCATTCATGTGGATTGTGGTTTAGGTTTTGCAGGCTGGACTTAATGATCAAGGCCCTCTGGAAGCGCGACACTGCCCTACAGTAAGTTATTGGCTTCTTTAAGCAGCGTAATCTTTGTAAGCTGACTAACTTCTGTGGTTTTACATTTCTCAGGTGACAACAAAAGACCAAGAAACCCAGTGGGAAGTTCTGGAACTAGAGGACCACAGCTACTCCTTCAAGGAGTCTCGAAAACCTGCCATCGCGCTGAAAATGTCGGCTTCAGATATCATGTTTTATACGGGTGTCTCGAAGACCGTGTTTCTAAGTCTCGCAGAGGCCGTCTGTAAAATGACCACCACCAACTCTCAGTTGTCCGCAGAAGACCAGCTTCTGATAACACTCATGAGATTGCGCCTAGGCCTCCTTTATGGGGACCTACCTAGGAGGTTTGAGACCTCGGTCACTAGAATTTGTGACATTGTGAAAAAAATGCTTCGGATCCTTAAGAAGATCATGAGCTATGTTGTTTTCTGGCTGCCATGGTCACGCATAGAAAACAGTATGCCTGCCTCTTTTGTTGAAGGCGGTTACGGCAGGACTACCTGCATCTTTGATTGTACGGAAGTCATTCTGCAGAGGCCTAAGAAGCTCATGGCTCGAGCACAGACATTCAGCTCCTACAAGGCAAACAACACGGTCAAATTTCTTACAGTTATCGCCCCCAATGGCTTCATTATGTATGTGTCAGATGTGTATGGTGGGAGGGCTTCCGATAAATACATTGTGCGGCACTGCGGGGTCGAGGACCACTTCCAGCGTGGCGATGAGATTATGGCTGATCGTGGGTTTACTTTGGATGCCCACCTGGAGCTTCAAGGGGTGAAGTTGAACATGCCGGCGTTTACAAAGGGTAAGACGATTGCATGGCATGAACCCTAATGCAGGCACTGTTTATTCATGTCCTGTCTGCAAATGCTTTGTGTTAGTTATAATCTTGGAGATAACTAGGGCTGGTTCTTGATTTAAAATTTTAGCCAGTCTCATTGCCTTGCAATAGTCAAATTTTTGGTTGCACTGATGTTCAGGCTCAATATATTGTGAAAAGAGCAAGGACGCCTGTTCTTCGTTGCTTCCTTTTGCTGTGTGATAAACAATGTAATGCACTTTCTCAGCTGGGGATAAACTTGAACCTTCAATTGAGAATGCTCAAATGACAAAATATTACTCCCAACTGTGAAGGCAAAGAGGTTTCCTGATGTTATCTCGCATGAGCAGGGTCATTCACTTCACAATCATTCCTGCAGCGCTAAATAGATGCTTGCGAGACGTTGAACAAAGACGCACGGAACTTTCTTCATTACTGACTCGACTTCTAAAATGAGGAAGCCTAGCGAGTACTATGATATCATGTAACATAAGAAACGGGCCTTGGGAGAAAGGCACTGGCCTTATTTTATGTCATCTAAATAGGCAAATGTGCACAGATTGGATACAAGTGTTGCGGCAGCACTGAGACGAGACTTGTATCCTCACTGATTGAACATGATCCTCAGCCAAACACTGATGCAGCACTCGTGTCTCATTTGTGCCTCATGCTTGCCTCTTCAGGTGCTGTAAAATATTCAGGCCTATGAGCCTTGCTATCTAAAAGGTGTTCACCTGGGAGCTAATTCCTGCAGAAAGGAGGGATTTCCTTCTTTCTGGGTCAGAGACAGAATCGAGGAGAGGTGTCCTCGTCTCTGGCTGCAGACTGGGCCTTATATTGAACTAAGTTTAAGTTGGAAGCAATCCCAGCCTAAATTTGATGGATGGTATTGGCATTTTTGTGTTCCCCACAGATGAATGGACTAACCTTTTAAAAGCACGGGAACCGTAAAAAAAAAAAAAAAAAAAAAAAAAAGATGTTTTGGGGGGTTTACCCAGTTAAAACTAATATTCAATTAATTGTGAGGTTAGTCTATCAATCACCCAGCCATAGGAAATATGACTGTGTTTGCTTAAGTGTTAATGTGGATCCTCAAATGTTTGCAATGTAAGTTTGATCTGTTATAAGTATGTGCTTGGATTGTGCAGTGCTTCATGCTTCTTTGCCCAGCTATTTCGGTGGCCAGAGTGCTGCGCTCTCCAGTGGCTTGGCACTAGACTTGTCAACTTGTTGGTGCACAACATCCAACTTCTTTGAGTGGATACCTCCGGCAACTTTCCTTATCTGCCGAAATAGTGGGAACATGCTTCTTAATTCTTAATCTCGCCAAGCATTTTAAGCTAATAGGAGCAACTCAAGCATGCTTTGCATGTCTGGCATTGCATGTACACAAAACACAGCACACAAGCTGTCTTTTTTTCATCGAAATGCTATTTTGGCCGCAGCCAAGCCATGGTTTTGAGACGTAGCACTTCAGAAACTATTGTGAAGCACTACATGAAGTAGCCATTCTTCAACTTTGTCAAGGATAGTACTGCCATGAGAAAACAGTTTGCGTGTTTTGTATGCAAGGAGAAGCGGAGAGAGGAGTACATGAGAGCGCACAGGGATGTCGGAGCACCGAGCTCTAATTAGAAGGTGCATCCGAATGCGAGGTACAGCGCGATGCTCTTGTTCGCTTTGATTAGAGGGAGACTCTAGAGACAAATGCAGCTAGCCCACTATTCCTTCCAGTCAGAGCTTGGCACTCTCTCCCCGCACGCTTGCAGTAAATCTGCAACTCGCATATTTCTTAATGTTTGTTGTGATTTCCTTAGTTGTACATGTCCTCCATTGTTTCTAGTTCAGTGCATAGCCAGAAATTGTGTTGATGTGACGTATTCCTTACTAAAGTCAGCATGCTATATATGCAGCTTGCAATGGAAGGACTGGTCAAAGGTACTGCAGGATGCAGCGTTAGTAAAACTAAACAATCATATGTCTTCTTTATTATTCGCAGGGAAATCCCAGCTCTCCGAGCTCGATGTGACTCGAACGAGAAGAATCGCCTCATTACGGATACATGTTGAGAGAGCGATTAATCGCATTAAAACGTACCGTATCTTCAAGTCAGCGTTAACCATAACGTCGAGGAGAACCATCAGTGATATGGTCTTCATCTGCGCAGGACTGTGCAATCTGAAGGCACCTCTGATTGCAACGCAAGAAACAGCGGCAAGTGCCAGCGTTGATGTGTAGACACTGACTCTGTAGACACTGAATTCTCGAGCTTGTTTGTTACATGTTCCGTTCTAATGTATTGGGTCTGATCAAGAAAATGAAACCCGGTTTTTGGCGTGCATAGACAAATTATTTGTCGCCAAAAGATGAAACTGGGAATGTCAGGCTAGCAGTGGTGAGAGAATGTGAAAGTTCGACAACATGAAGTTACCTGGATCATCCAAATTCTCGGGGCAAACGAAAAAAAATGGTATTGTAGATGTAGCTAATGCTCCGGTGGGAAAAATTTGTCAGTAAGAAATGCAGTATTGTTTTTTTTTTTCTTGTTTTTTTTTGCAGACCATACTTCTAGCACAGAATGTGGTTTATGGGTTGTTTACAATAGGAAACTAGATATGAACAAGCGTCGTAACGACCGACACTGTTCGTTAAAGTTGCGTATAAAATCAACATAGCCCCAGCAGGGATAGAATCTAGATCGACTGCAGCTGCTCTCAGTAGACAAATTCGGATAGCAAATTCTGTCATTGGCTATTGTTTGTTATTTCTTTTTAAAATAAACACCACAGGCATTTAGTGGCATTTGTTCTGTTCTTTATGCATTACGCTGAGGTAGTAGTCTATTTATAGAGAAATTTCGTGTTACCATTTTTCGATTCTGGTAACATATTCTCCAGCTTTTGCATTCTGCCACTACAGCTAGTGTCGCATTCTCATGCAGTTTCCAGTACCTATGCGGCTCAAGACAGGTTTTATTTCCTTGGACAGACTTGGTAGTCTGGTTTGTGATCATTGCTCTATCTGTGTTTCCTTTGTGTGCCTCACATCGCTGATGTTGAGTACAATTTTTGTAGGTGTGTTTGTTTTGATCTCTTGTCTGCAGGATGGAAGTTTTTTGTTTATTTTCTTGCTCACTTAATTGGGGAGTGGAACAATTTTGAAACTTCAGAACAAAAACCTTTCATTGCTTAAGTGCACTAGATATTTTTTTAACAATAGTGGGTTTCCACAATTGCACGACATACGACACAGCAACAGGAGCTCAGCAATCACGTAATTCGCCAACACTGTGACATCATTGTCGTTTCTGCACTGCCTCCTGAGCACAGTTCTGAGAATTTTTCCACCACTTCCGCTCTCAATTACACTCCCGTGCCGTAACTAAAAGTCATTTTCTTTGGACCCGCTACAAACTTTCCAAGGTCTAGACATACAACGTGCAAGTTCGTCTGCTCGGATGGTCGTGTGCATGCTCCGGAAAAAGTGGGGTTTCTGTTACATCCACCCTCAGAGTGAGAACGGTAAGGCATGTCTTTCAAATGCCTGGCCCTCAACTAGTGTTTGTGGTTTTGATCACGTGGTCGTTGCTTTTTGATGCATTCACTAGCTGTGCATTTGCTCGAGGCACTGTGAAGTTTTGAGCAGGATGTCAACGTTATTCCCCCAGCAGGATCTCGCTAAGAGCTGTTGCTGTAAAAATAATACAAATTGAAGTTCATGGTATCTTACAACTGTTACACTGTCTACTGAGTCACTGTGTTCTCAAGCATGTTCGTGACCTTCCTTTTTTCATCGGTGGGAAGAGGACCTTTCGCCTCAGATAGGAACACTTTTCAAACTTTGGTTCGATCGCCTCGGAACATTATAGCCAGTCGGCATCGGCAATGGTCGTGGCAGGTAGCCAATCTTGGATGAGTGAAAAAACATAAGTATGGACATCCGTTTTTGCTCGCTTGTCATGAAAGCATCGGAAGGGGATAATTTGGTTGACTTCAGGTGAATGGCACGCTTACACACGCAACTTGCTCATTCACTGTGGCGTAGCTCGTGGTAACTTCGGGCCATTTTTCTCATGGCTGCCACATGCTGCTGCAAGTTGAGAAATAATCTGGCTTTTGCTTCGCGAGAACATGAAAAATCACAATATTTTAGGGAAAGTCTGCATTTACTTTTACTTGCGTTGATACAAACAAAATATAAGTGATATGCTGCATGTTTGTGTAGTAAATTGTTTCACCTCCCCTTTAGATTGAAAGTGTTAGTATTCTTATTTGATGCAAAGGATAAAACTTGGCTTATGGACTTAGTCTAGCAAAAAAAGTAGGTTTTTCACATGCCTCTTTTTACTCATGCCAATTATTTCACCTCTTTCGTTGTGATATGTGTACTAGCGTAAACAAAAATAACATATTAATAAATAAAAGATCCTGCTTAGCCGAGGATAATCTTAAAATGTTAACCAGTTTAAAGGGATGCTGAACTGAAATCTGGATTCCACAAAACACGGAGGCAAAAGCGTGCAACGGGATGCTACAAACACCAAAACATCACTCGTTTAGCGATATCTCGAATGGATGACCGTATTTCTCAGGAAAAGGAGGCGCATTTGACAGATGTGCTTACGTCTCGTTTCTCCGAGGAGGAGAAGGAACAGCCTCACGTCTTCTCCGCCTCGCCGCCTTGAGGGGGCGAAGTGAGAAGAGGAGGAAACGAGACATCTTGACATCACGCGCATTGTCCAATCTCGACCTTTTTCCAAAAATGCGGCCGTCCATTCGGGATATCATTTTACGAGTAGTGTTGTAGGGATTGTAGTCTCCCGCCTACAGCTCCTGCAATGTTTTCTGATATCAAAATTTCGGTTCACCATCCCTTCAAGTGCAGTTTCAAGATTGGTTTGGGACCGGTGGTCCCCTCTTCAGCTTTGACAACGCATGCAATAGCCGAGGGCGAGGACGCTGGTCTCGAAAGCCTTGTAAGCTGTCCTTGATGTGTTGTACATTTCAAGATTTTC